GGCTTGTATTCCTATTTTAGACAATAGGGTTTATTAAGGGAAATTGTCCAATTCACTGACCACTCAATAATGATTAGTCACTGATGCCCAATCAGTTGTGATTGGTTGGTTAGTTTGTTACCTGGTTCGATACAGGTAAATTTGCTATAATTTTATTTTGCGACAGACTGATTACCCAATCCTCGTACTAATAATTACCCCCGTAAAATTCCATTTTATCTCTTTGGGGGTAATTGCCCACAGGTTGAGAATCACTGATCTAGTGACTGAGAACTTGGGAGGGCTCTTAAACGATTCACTGTCAACTGTTCTAATAGTAGGCAACGATATCAAATCGCACCCTTTTCAAGATCGTCCTTTTCAGCAGTTGTGTGAAGAGCATAGGGAAGATTTCCAGCTTCTACTGTTGCAGCTGTCTTCGCCGTTTTGTTGTACTCTGGGACACTATCATCACATTCTTTTTTGGAACTGATTATAAAGGAGAACTGTTAACAGCTAACCCAGAGGTGTTTTACCTGGTTGGTTTTCGAAAAACTCAACTTATTAAATAAAACTCTCCAAAGCAAGTTGTCTCGAGCAAAGAAGCCACTATCGCTTTTCTTTAAAAAAACTGAAGTGTATGCTCAAAACATTGGACTTCGGGAATTTGCGCAGCTCCGAATTCTCGCTACAGACAAGGAGAAGCTGAAAGATAAAGGCTTGAATATTTATGCATCATTTACAGCAACTCTGAAAAGATATGAAATACAAGTTTCATGACTTGATTGACATAGAAATCCCGACTTTGGATTTCGAATCCATTTACTGCACAACCTTGCGATGTTGGTGTTAAAATCCAAAAATATCTCATAGAGCTTCAAGGTGATACACTATCAAGATCCAAATTCACACAATATAAAAGGGATTTTTGGGTAAAGGCTGTTGCCCCCTAACAGATATCCCAGACTGTGGGAAGTAGTTGAAATATATTTCCTTGTTTTTCCATCCACATAATTAGCTGAACGTATATATATATATATATATATATATATATATATATATATATATATAGTCAGCAGTCTATAAGATAGACATAAAGTCAGCGAAAACCATGAAACGAAGTAATAAATACAGACCACAACGAAAGGATTGGCTACAAAAGTTCTTATTTTTGAATCTCGTCTTTGTTTCACACGCCGTTTTATCTTTTTGTGTCTGTTTAATATTTCCTATGTAAATCAAGAAAATCAAGTCAAACATTTATACACATTTTCCATTGGATCCGGTTCTGTGCCATCTCCGAAAGAGTTTCCAACCAGCGGTGTTCTTCATCTTTGATCCCCCAGCCCGGAAGATGCATGTGACTGGAAGTCGTTTGTCGCCACACGATAGGCTGCCGACCGCGCGATTTCTTTTAGCGTGGTCCTGTGCGAGCGAAGAGAGCGCGTCGGGGCAGCCGTTCACATAGCTTGCGTAAAGCGTGGCCCAGCCATCTCAGTTGGCGCAGCAGTACCAATCTGTCAAGTGGAAGTACGGTGTTACCCAAGACGCGACGTCTAACATCATCCTTGTGCACGTGGTTCGTTCACCACACTCGAGCTATTCTCCGCAGACATCCATTGTCAAAGGTCGAAATCCGACGCAAGTCATTCACACGAATCGGCTAGGACTCACTCCCATACAGCAGAATCGCGCGAACACAGGCATTGTAGACCCTGCCCTTTACCAATAGTGAAACGTCACGGCGTCGCCACAGATGCCTCAACTTGGCGAATGCCGAATGGCCTTTGGCAGTGAGGAGGGAAATCACTTTTTCAATGCTACCATTAGCAGAGACAGCTTCCCAGGCAAACAAAGTTGTTCACTTGTTCAAGCTGTGTACCTTGAAGAGTGGGCACTGGAGCAGGTGGATGCCAGTCCAGGACCAGAACTTTGCTTTTCGTAGGGGGCAAAGGTCACTCCATATCTTGATGCTTCAATCGCCAAACGGTTTAGAGCGGCTTGTATGCTCTGTACGCCATCACCAAGTAAGGTATTATCATCAGCATAATCTGAATTGGTCACGCGGTTGCCAGGTAGAAGATCTACACCAGAACCCTGAAAGCCCTCAAGAGTGTTTAAAAAGACATCCTCTATAGCAAAATTGAAGAGAAACGGGGACATGGGGTAACCCTGTCGTACACCGCTAGTGACGGCAAAAGGTGAAGTGAGCTTAGCATAATCCCTCGCTTTACATGAGACATTGCAATATAATGCTCAAAGGATGGCGATATATTTTTCGGGTACTCCATTCCTTTGTAAGCAACGCCACAAATCTAGCCGATCGACGGAGTCGAAAGCGGATCGGATGTTTAGAAAAACAACGTTAGTTGGCTGGCAGTAAAGATAACACGTTTCAAGGAGTTGGTGGAGTGTAAACAAGTGGTCTATACACCCTCGACCGGGGCGAAAACGAGCCTGTTCTTCACGAGAGCGCAATTCTCGAATCGGGGTTAGTCTGCGGAGTATAATGGATGTTAACAGCTTGGAGACAGTGGACATTAGACTGATTCCTCGCTGGTTAGCGCATAGGGTACGGGCAACTTTCTTGAAGATCGGGACGATAAGTGACTCGCCCCAAGCGGATGGAACTGTTTTTTTCATACCAGATCTTAGAGAACAGATCTGTTACCTGGTTGACAATTAGTTCGCCCCCGAACCTGACCAGGTCTGGAAGAAGTCCGTATGGGCCAACTGAATTGAATCGCTTCAAGTATCAGAGCTCAAGGCAGACCTCAGCTTCAATGGGTGCTTCCAATGAGGCGTTCCAAGGCGCGCAACTAGGCTTACTCAGTAGGTTCGCCGGCGGAGGAGGCCAACTGAATTGAGTGCGGAAGTGTTCAGCCCAGCGGTCCATAAGCCTGTGTAAGTTGGTGATCGGCCTTCCGTCAACCTCGCAAATGACCTCACTGACACCAGGTCTTTCGTGACCAGTGGCCTGAATGACCTAGAAGAGCTTGCGAAAGTTTCTAGAGAGAGTTGCGGTTTCCATCTCTGAGGCGCGCTGAGACCACCAAGTTTCGCGATCAGCACGCAGGCTTTGCTTAAATTATTGGCTGAGAATGCGACACAATGCACTGCTATTTGAATCGGTCGGAATAGCTCTACGACAATCAAACAATTCCATTGAGTGTGCGGAAATCCACCTCATGAAAGTGAGCCTTGCGATTCCGCAGATTGAATGACTGCAAGTTAGCATCGCTTCACGCAGGAAACTCCAATGATTTTGGATGTCTCGAGGTAGAGCACCAATGAATGTATGTGATAAGGAAGCTTGATAAGTTAATCGAGTAGAGATGTCAGCTAACTTGTTGTTGTCGAGCGTATGGAGCTTTCGTTTTGAGGAACCGCCGAAGCGCATGCAAATGTCCGCGCAGACCAAAGTATGATCTGAATCGAGATACGTAGACCAAATCGATCTACAAACCCCGGACGCTGCCTCGCCATCTAAAACTGATTGTAATGTGATCTATTTGTGACCACGCTTGCGTTGGTGAAGGAGGACGCCAGGTGGTTGCGCGTCTTCTGGTATGCCTAAAGTTCATACTTGAGAGAAAGAGACGGCGATCCTCGCATAACGTAACAAGTCTATCACCGTTGTCGGAACGGCTCTCATCAAGCGCGTGACTGCCACCAAGCTGATGGCCGGATGATTTGAATATCAGCGAGACTAGCATTAGAAGTATATTCAACAGGTTGTAGATTATCAACAAGAGAAAAGTTGGCGTGTGATGGAGAAGCATGAGTAGCAGCAGAAGTAAGTGACGTAGTAGTAATTGCGCAATCCATGGTTTTCACAGAGGGCACGATACTATCCGGTTGCCCAAGCCGTAGTAGGGGATTGTCTTAGGGGACTCCACTCCGAGCCTTTGGCTCAATAGACTGCCCGTTAGGCAGCAGAGCGAAATCAGGGATTCGCACCCAGTGGGAGCCGATGACTGATTGTTCAGTTCATACACCTTCCGTTTGGGAAACAGCCAGACAGGGGCCCAATCTTCCCCACAATTTCAGCAGCAAGATGCTGAGATACAATGCTTCACCAAGGTGAAACAAGGGGCAGTGACTTTATTTAGTGGCGAGTCAGATCCGCTACATCGCGGTGTTATTAAACGGACACATGTGGCTTTTTATGGGGAGAACGCTTGTCAGGCGAAAACTCACCACGTCCTGGAACACTGCCGCCGAACCATTCTCTAGACCGAGATAATCCCGGACCACCCAGCTGGCACTACGAGTTGTTCGGCAGGCTAGCCTGCTGAATGTGAATTCAGCAGACCAGTTTCTCTAACAAAAAGTATAAACATTTTGGACATCACAGCGAGGATATCTTCAACTCTCGCTGTCAAGTATGGAGTCGGGAAAAAGCAAGCTTGCTCAAGGACATCAGGCTCAATGTTCGCATTAATATCTCGACAAAGATACTGTTACGAAGTTACTGCACCTCGTAATTTATGACATGACTTACACTTAAAAGTCAGCAATAATTAAATATACTTTACATATTAATGATGGATTTGTGTAATTACTGACCACTTGTCTGTCTGATGCTGCCACAAAATTAATGTTATCTCGAGGCTGTGAATGTTAATAAATGCGATTTGCAAGAGGAAGGGCAGTGATACCAACATTACAAAATTTTGCCTTCACAGCAAGATATCAATATTACCACTGGAAATTAAAGATTTCCGTCTGTTAGACGTTGCAGATTACTGAAATTTTAGTGATCAAGGGTGGGTGACTCTGAGAAATGAAATGATTCAAAAGGGGGCCACAGATAAATAGAAGTTGAGTATGCCTGGCCTAGTGCACTCGTCAGAACGTCGTACCAAAGGAACCCCATGGAGATCCAGCTGCTCAGGATGGACATATGGGTTCACACTCCTGAGAAGTACAATAAAGTGAGATCAACTGGTGATTCTATTGGCTCCCTAACGTGCCCACTATAACATTCGATGACATTTAATCAATAACAAAAGCCATATATGTGCAGTAAAAAATTGCATTCTGTTGATACAAGCCGGTATAGAAATACCGTCCACGTAATCCATCAGTTGAGTATTTGTTCATGAATAAAAGTGATTTATCTAAGTAGGAAACCAGCCTGGCGATGCAGTGTGTTTGAGTTGGGAGACGTGGGATGAGAAGCCTAGGAGTTGGAGCTGGAGCGATTTTGTCTGTGCAAAGAAATCATACCGTACGTCACGAGGAGTAAGCTGCGATAATATGAGTTCGGTAGTTAGCAAATCCAGGGGGTATGTTGATGGCAGGTTCCACAACAAAGTCCATTCTCTGCCAGGTGAGGGCCAGTGGGGAGATATTTGGAGCCGCAGTGTGCCAAAAGTGGCTAACCGGAAAGTGAAAGGCGATATGCTCGTGCGCGCTGATATTGCAGCGCATTGGGGAATAAGTGCGACGGTAGATCGAATCAAAATTGTGTGTAGCGCATTAATTCAGATCTCACTGTAGTCGGATTGGTAGATAACTGAAGAGGACGCGAATCCGAAGCTGGCGGTACAACACCTGCTAAAAAGAAAAAGGACAACTGTAAGAATAGGATGGCAGTAATTCATATACCATATCCACTACCCAAGTTGAAAGCTTAAGCAGGGACATAGGCTTGCGGTCTAAGTACAACGTGACCTCTGAAGATATGACAATTCGTGGGGTCCCAAACTGTGTCACAAACGTTCACCAGTGCTGGGCAAAAATCATGCCTGCCACGGACCTGTAGAAATCTGCACAAACCAGATATTCAAGCCGGCCCGGTTATTTTAAATTGTACGATCAAGGCATATGTTTATACTGATAAGTTATTAGTAGGGTAGTTAGTCAAATTTACAGCCGATTGCCACTACTACCGGTCTATGTGCATGTACAGCCTCACCTAAAACTCTGGTCCTTTTACTCTGTTAACGCGGGACATTGGGTCCCTCATTAGTGCTTAGACAACCGTCTCTGAAAACGAATGACACGATTTATGATTTTCTCACTTTTTATTTCCAATTCAAATGCGTTCAAATGTCTGGTGATATCTGTTGAACCCTGTTGGTGAAAATAGTTCCCCCGTTTCTCCCGAGTCTCACGATTTTCCATTGTCTGTAGCTTTGAGTGTAGAGTACGCCTGGAAGGTACAAGTTGCTGTACAAACTGTGCGTTTAGTCCAATTAATTGACGTCCATTTCATGTTTATTTTCTGTTTTTGTTATCATTTGTATTTCCATTACACTAATAGTCTGCAAAGTGCCATTACTGAAGGGCTAAGATGGCATGGCTGGGCCTCTGACCTTGGCTTCGCACTCGAGATACACGCTGATTCATAGGTACATGTGTAAATGGCGTTGTGTTTGCTCATAACAACTACGGTGTTTAGTGTCGCAGTGGTACAAGCAGAGAGTGGTAGCGACCATTCTCCGTCGGTAGCTAAATCCGCGCTTGGTGCGACCGAACTCGCCGTATACCCAGCCCAAGTGCGGCCGCTGTCGGTCGTGTAGCAGTGAAGCGTCGATACGCGGTGTGCCGACGTGTTACTGATGCTTACTGTGTTACCATTGCTCCATCTGCTGTAAACATGTGTTTTGGGTGACTGTGCAGAAATGCGAGAATAAAACTTTTTGCAACCTTTGTCATTGACTTCAGAGTCTATTCCCAGGGGATAAAATTAAGTCGCTGCATCAGTACGAGCTGTTGTTCGAGATAAGTGCAAGCCGGAGCTATTATGAGTCGGCAGGAATGCCTGCTTTACATTGGCACCATGGTCCAATTCAAATCTGAGGCCTTGTTTTTATGGTGACTTTGTTCTTTTACGTGCTCAAGTAGAAGTCGCGAGTTTAGTGTGTCTTTTTTCAATTCTTATTCATCCTCACGGATCCGCACTCAGTTACCGCGGCGCATGTTGGAACTCGATTTCCGCAACATCGCGTCTTCAGGACAATTTTCGCCTATTGGTACATATGAATCCAGCTAATGGATTTCAGTCATCGGCCGGGTGTCTTCGCCGGATGCTTGTATCAGATGTCCTGTTGATGAAGTATACAGCTATCCCACTTATAAGTAACCACAGCTTGCGCATGTACTTCGCAAATACTATTTTTTGTAATGCATCTATCGAATATGAAATCAAGCGTCATATTAACGCAAAATGTTAAATATCCCGAAACAACTTCCCCGCAAGTACACATTTCCCAACTTACCAGGATAGGAATCATCTACCGGGACCTGGTAGTATTCATAGGCAGCTGTCCCCGGTAGAGGTCGAGTATCTGAGTTGGACCGGTATGGTATGTTAGTTATGGGTCTTGAGTCAGGCGCCATCAGTTCGGGTGGCACAATGGAGCCCGTCAACTGACCAACGCTACCACTGCCTGTGTTGAAGTGACCGGCTTCTGGTAAACCCGGTTGTCCAGTAAGCCCTCCGGATGCGGAACGCTGAAAACAACGGAAGTTCAGTTTAATTTCATACCATGCAATCAACGTGAAGTGTAACCGGTCGAATATATACAGCTCTCCATACCACATGAAACAAGTGTCACCATGTGGAGTTGCAATCATCCACTCAACGCTCATCCCGAGTGACTGTAGACTCCGAAGATGACTTTCCGGAGCCATCTAGTATACATCCAAGACAACTGTTTAAACTCATTTGCCCCTAATGCGCTTCCTAGGGATAAGGCAAGGTAAGCTCCAGTGATGGGCTGTTTATGAGAGCAGCTGTTACATGCACCACGTTGGTTTCTCATCCAACCATCAGGATGTATGGACGAACTGCAGACCGAGGTTAACACGGCCGTTTTTCTTTATCAGTCACCTACGGGACCAGATCTTTAGTCTCGTCCGATTCGTTACGGAGCATTTGTTGTCACGTTAGATAACACAAGTTACGAATTCAAGTGGTTTATTCAATATTACTTGGCGCAACCCAGTTCTGCTGATGGTGAGCTAATGTTGTACACATATCTTAGTCGAGTTTGACTAGGGTGATTGCAATTTACTCCATTTTAAAATTGCGTAAGCCGTATTGCTTCTCTACTGTTCATTGTTGCGCTATGTGCGTTTCCAGATACATAGCTGTCTACTTCGTGTTTTCAGATTTTTAGACGCTAACTTTGGCTTCATGGTTTACTTTGGTGCGAACTAGGTCACTTGTGCAGGATTGAAAGTGGGCAGCTGCATGGATTAGTGCTGCTTCTCACTTTCATGGACCCAAGCACTAGATAGATCACTAACATTAACTGGATTAAGAGTTACTGCCTAGCTCTCATCACGGTGCTCATGTCGACAGACGTCGACAGGTAGACAACTGCAACATGGCAAGTGGGCCATCAATCAAGTAATGTCTGGTTCGGTCATTTGCTCGTAAGCTCTTCTTCCTCAGCTACATCATATAGGCGAATTGGTCCTCAATGACGGACTTCATCATTTTCAACTGTCCAACTCTGAACCGATGGCGTGGTAGGTTACCCAAGACTGCTTCCAGCCAGTACAATGAGACCCACTTGACAATAACCATGGTGTTTAGTTCAAACATCAGTGGTTGTTGTGCTTCCCAATCATTTCCGAGTCCCTTTCTACTAGGTTATCTGCACTCTTGCACAATGTGGCAGTAGGGTGGCGTAGGGCAGAGTAACCGTGTGTGCCCGAGGTAGACTTTCGCACAGAGGAGACGTGGAATGTTGTTCTAATCGTGGGAGTATACGAAGACCTCGTACATCCAGTTGTTGGGATACCAAGCAGCGCACATGAGGTTGTACTACAGCATTCGCACGACCAGGTGTTTATCCGTGCGGTTACACGTTTTTTACATCAATATCATCGATACTTCACATCTATGCTTTTACACTTAGAGATAACGCAGTCCAATGTTGGTCGGACACAAATCGCAATTCGATTTCGATTCAGTGTATCAAGAAACTAGGTTGTAATTGTGTTAAATGTATCGTCTTACGAAAGCAGATTCCAACCACTGTGATTCCATGGAAATATGGACGTCACCAATGAGAAACAGTGGGTGAAGTTGAAACAAACGTACCTGACGCAAACTGTTTCTGGAATTAGTATTCTTCTCCAAAAGTAGATCAGTGGCTGCCTTCCTGGTACTGTCCATTGCTGCAACGGTTCCGGTGGTGGATGACCCACCAGAAACCAGATACTGACGCAAACGGTGTAGCTTCTGTTCCAACTGCTTGTTCTGATCCTCCAACTGTTGCATACGTAATTCCAGTCGACCCCGGTGCTCTCGCAACAGGCGTGTCTCGTTGGATATCTCACCAACCGCGGTGGGTGCATTGATCTCGCCGTCGACGGTCATCTCGGGAGCATAGGGGTGAGCAAAGACACGAGAGTCTGAACCGTACACGTCCACTGGATAATGCATTTCACCGTTCTGGCCTGCGTTCGCCCGCCCAAGACTGCCACTGTAATCGATGCTAAATGTGAGACGTGAGGGTCCCGCATCACACACATGTTTAGTGGTGCAGTAACATAAGAATCAGAGTGATTGAACAAAAGTGTGTTGGTGCGTTACCTAATGCAGGACAGTTGTGTTAACGAAAATAACTGATGTACATCTGTCATGTTCCTGGGAATACCTACGACGAATAGCCTCATCTTTCGCATGGTCACGTTCAATTTATTGAACGCCTATTTTTACTGGGGCCAGTTGCTTGAGCCCTGATTTGCCCACTATCCTAATCTACCTGCAACACGGTTAACCGATCGAAGAACGAGTAGCTAGCTCCGATGTGATGTCAAATTCAAAGTGGGTGTCTAGCGTGAATTTGAAAACACGCAAGTCGAATTGTTACTAGAAAGAAAATATCAACAGGACACCGAGAGATCTGAGACCAGGCAGTGGTCGATCACACTGGTTCGAAAGCACTAGTACGTTGTGAAATTTTCTCCATAATCTGGCTGTAGCGAGAACTTCGATGGTCGCCCCTTGTGGCATCCACTGTGGCCTAAGTAACCAAGTCCAGCTGGTGGTTACGGGTTAGAAATTACTGCACGTGACGTGAAGGCCGTAAGCCGCCTACTGTGTGGAACTTCATACGAGAATTTGAGGAACCTGACTACAGCTTCCTCCAACTTCAGTCACACTGTTACCTCACTGCGAAGCATCAATACTTCGTTATAAGTTTTAGCGATTAGGCCGATAAGCCTAGCGAATAAGTGGATACACAAGGAGTACCTATTATCGAAACGATTCTCATGAACAAACTGGAATTTTAAATGGTAAATAGGGGGGCTGATCCACCTTCGAAGAAGATTCAACCCAAATGAACTCGGGTAGACGGCCAATGTATATTCACTAGAGCACTGTATGGTCGTCCCGTCCTTTCTGGATGTGTTAGCAGTGCGCATTCCATCTACCACAAATGTGCAAGGTCGCAGGTTCTGTCCCTGAAAAAATTGTACCGTTGACGAGCCCCAAATCGACGAGACGGCCTTTCAGCGCTTAGCCAGATGTGCAGTGGTCCTCTGACTGAGTGTGACTACACACTGTGTCCGAGCCACATTTGAAATGTTGCGGACTACGCGCCATTCACCCCGATAGCCAAAGTCGGTCCCAGTACACGAAAGCCCACTCAGCTTGAGAGCAGAATAGCAGTGAATAAGGGAAACCGGCAGTTGCACACTAGTAGACGAAGTGATAGTACCATCGCATCGAACGGCGGTCGGCTCATGTGGTGCGAAGCGGCGTGACAAAGAGTGCAAGGGTCAGCTAGAGACAAAAAATAGCCGCCGGCTCGTAGCCAGAGAATTCGAATCAGAACGAAAGCATTCGCATAGTGCAGTCCTTTGAGAACACGATCACATAAAATTTCTACCACATACAAGTCACTAGTAAGTAAAACATGACCGAATTTTGCTTCAAGAGGAATCATGGTTCAAACCTATGCTCCATGCCGCTTTCCGGTCACACAAAGCATAATCCTACCAAATTCCTAATTGCCGCATTTCTTAGGAATACACAATTACTGTCACAAGCGTTGCGTGTGTAACTAGTGGCCTAAAGACTACCAAGAATTCCGCAATTAAAAGTTACTACGAAGTAACTCGGCTTGTAGTGTCCAAACGAGAACGATAACGGGGGCCTAGTGTAGTAATGAGAGCGGGTACCGTGAAAGATGGATAAAACGACGGCGATTACCAAAGATATATCGGGCAATGAAGACAAATATATTGTCATACTTGCATAGGTGATAGCTTTTGAAAGCTCCCAAGTTTATTTGCAATTAAAACTCAGTCCAAGTAGAATGAATTGTCTTTATTTTCACCACGAGAAACATCAGCACTGCACCGGTAACCTATAGGTATGCCCAAATGTCATTCACCTGCATCCAAGGATGTAAGAGTGTAATTTAATTACCACGAGTTACCTTTGTGATCACTAAGAATTACGCAGCCCTCATGCCTTCGGAAAAGTACCGGTCCCCTTAAATTCGTCGGTAGTGCCGATGCGTCTGAACCCAGCAGAATTCAACGCCACAGATCGCTACAAGATAGCAAGCTAAGCCGCTGTGTCATGGGTAACGGTGCAGGTAGTGTGATTAAGTGACCAGCTGCGGTGCAACGCACCTCGTGTTTCACTACTAAACAGTGTCCACTCTCAAATAAGCCAGATATCATCCTCGCGACAGTCCCTCTTAGCAAGTAGCATACGGTTTAAATAGAGCGTTCTGCCGAGTGTCGACATCAGCTGACCTAATGAGATCTAGTGACCGAGCAAAGCAAGCTGATCCTAATAACTCAGAGTTCTTCAAGCTTACGTCCGATGATTCGCTTGCATTCGCCGCACCCAACCATAGCACAGACCATCTGATGGTGTCATCGAATGTGCTCACATTCATCGTTTGCTGTCATGATAGTCAACAGCGACAAACACAAGGATACAGTATATCTGGCATCTTTGAAAGTCGGGGTTCTCGTGACGCGAGTACGCACGTAAGGCACAATGATGAATCGGTGGTGTCCGATAGCCATTCAAAGGTTTTGTTCGTAGCCCTCCCCCGATGACGATAAACCTAACATTTAGTCATGGATTCTGAAGAATCCTGCTTTCTAGCACGAGACCCTGCTTCCTAAGTTGCTACTGTAGTGTGTATGACATCTAAGACCTGTGCGGTCGATAGCAAGTGCACAGCCTCAAGTATGAGTTTGTTTGCTGGTCTTACGTTACCAACCATGTGAAATGCGGCCGGAACGGGACACAACCATGTCGTATTGCCGGTTAAGTTGCACAATTCAAACTCCTCACCCTGGGCCCACTGCGGCACCGGTTACCACGAGGGAAGATTTGTGCACTGGGGGACGTGGTCCATATCCTCGGGGGAGACTTGATCGAAGAGCTTCCTGTTGTTGCTGCTGCTGCTGCTGCTGCATCAGTTGATGTTGAAACTGCATCCGGGCGAAGCGTTGCTGTGCCTGCTGACTTTGTAGTCGACTAGAAGTAGGTGCGCTGTAATTTGGTGTACGAAGTCCGTTCTGATGCAAACGATCGTATTCCATCCGTAGTACATTTTGTTCCTCGTCGAGAGACCTCATAACCTATAATGTTGAGTCAAGTGAAAGAAAAAGGGGACATTTGAGAGTCTTATGCTTTACCGGAGCCATGGGGCTGCGATCGAAAAACATGAGGTACATAGGTGGATTCGGAATTCTCGCGTTACACATTCAGCTCTCAGGTAGATAAGCTGTTTAACTTTCTCATCAAGTCCTTGATTTGTGGAAGTCTATGCACACTTCTTGTCTACGCTGAGTCAAGTACCTCTTAAAACCCCAGATGGCCTGAAGATTTCCATCGAATCCGGCACGAACTACAACCGATGCAAATTCTAATTCCTCAGTTCGACTAAAATCTGAAATTGAAGCAGCCTATCATCAGGGATCAGTGTTTTGCAGTCCTAACCCCCATGGGAGAACAATCAGTGTACCAAGCTTCAAAACGAACATTTAGGAGATCCGTCGGCGCCAGCGCTCCAAAGGAGATAGGTGAGTATCCGTTATACGAGAAGACAATTGAAGGTGGCCTGCTGAATTCAATACCTGAGGTAGCAGTCAACAGGGCTAATAGCGGTGAATACAAACGACTAAACACAATAGCATAAATTTTTTGCCATCATACTCACAGGATTGGTTTGACCTGACAGATGTATTGGTCCGGGTTGTCGACTCTGTGGGTAGCCTTGGAATCGAGGATCTACTTGGGCGTTTGGTGTGAGCCTAACGGAGTTCAGTTGTACATCGGGTGGGGGTTGAGAACGGGCACGCAACGAATACGATCGTTGTATGCTCGCAGAGCCGAGCGAGTCGTGCGGAGAAACGCGTGGCAAAGTGGGATTTGAGGCCAGTGGGAAAGGTACGGGTTGTCCGAAAATATGGTAGTTACTGAGCTGCTGATTGTGACGCGGTGCGTACGCCATATCCAAACCCGACTGGCGGCTGTAATGTTGTGCTGGGTCCAAGCCATCCGCCGGATGGTACCCGTTTGGTGCAAAAAGGCTGGTGTGACCGGGACCCCTACCAAACTGCCTTCTATCCAGACTCAAATGTCCCGTATACTGTAGTATCGGATCATGGAGACCCATTAGGGGCGTTCCGTTTGGAGCGCCATCAGAAATAGTTGAGCGATTCATGACGGCGGGAACAGATGCCGGAGGGGGTGACATAGTCATTTGGTCCATTGGGTTCTGTTGACAGGAGAAAAAGGAGGGGCAATCAGTGGTTTGCAATACACTCCATGGCCTCATAGTAGAGTTAAGATATTTACTCAACAATAGCAATAGCCAGCAATCAAGTAAGACGTTGTAACTCGTCATCGGATAGAGTTACTCGAAGTTAGCATGTGAAATTATCAGATTAAAAGCATGACAGCTGGGCAGCAGGGGCCGAATTCAAGAACACCGTCTAAGATTTGGCTGCTTTTATCAGGTGGGTTACCTATTCACTAATATAGTTTACCCCATGGTCCATATCGGGAGAGGCAAGCTATACTACTCAGGCTCCACACACCTATGCCTCGTCAGCGAGTGGCCGTTCAGATACTTCAGCGGACAAAATGTACCATGTGAAGGCTGCCATAATTCAGCAGTCGGATGCAACCTGGAAGGTATGAGTTGGTGTTAAGAATGCTGGTGACGCTGCGCTTGAGCAATATGTTGAGCATATGTTGCTAAACACAACATATACTGAGATTTTTGCCACAATTGGCTTCGAAAGTGTGTCAAGTAGTAACAGAATATTGACTAGGCCTTCAGTACTAAAGATGCTGATGGATGACTTTCGTAAGCCGGAAGCCACCGGTAATCGTCCTGCCCAAATCTTGCTGGGGTGCCAAAATTTACACCACTGGTCATTGCAGTTTCCGCCGGATTTGTCTGTCTGACCTTCCTTCGTATACTATAAAGCCTTGAAGTGAGAACGGAAAAACAGTTAGACCAAGAAAAAGGCCACTCAATTAGGAGTGGAACAGATTGTTGTTCACACGAATAAACTCACAAGGTTGGGATCGGTTTGCTGCCGCAGTTCACGACTGTAGTGAGCAATTAATTGGTGTTCATCATCAACCAAAGGCTCCAACGATCGCTGACGGCCCACAAGCATTTCGTTGGAACGTCGATCTCTGCTTCCATACTGATTAACAACAAGCTGCCGAGTATCCGACGCGGCTCTCGGAGGAAGGTTGGGTTGTTCTGTAAGATGTGCAACGGGGATTTGACTCGACATCGGTCGGCTTATTAGTGGCTCCACGGCAACCGGAGTGCGTGAAATAGAGCTGGAGATTCCGACCGAATCGAAGGAGTCGCGTACAAGTCCGCTTTTCCCTCCAGTTTGCGCGCCATAATCGGGCTCCCGAGGGATAAGCGAGGACAAATCGGACCCGAACGTTGGTGCTGGTCGCGGTTTGCTTAATCAGTAAATCGAAAGAGGGTACCTCAAGATAATCATCCTGCAAGCCAACTGCTTTGTTTGCGACAACTAAATATTACGAGAACATTAAGCATATAACTAAACAAAAATGATTTCATCACCAATCAGTCACTACACACTAGTGCATTTAACGCAATGTTGGAGGACAAATTATACAGCCAAAGGGAAAGGTAGCGGATTATGGATGTTGGTGGTTTAACTTAGATTGTGGCTGCCACATTGGCGCCATTGATTACGAGGTTTTTGTCTGGCCTTTTGTTGCTAGGTGTTCCATTAAGGACAAGCAACCCCATTTTGGACCACAGTGCTTTGAAGTAAACCTTGGTCATTCGAGTTAGCAACAGAACTTCATACGAAATTGGAGCGTATTGTTCGATTCCAACATTGTATTCTTGTTCGTGCTCCCTAGGTGGTGGTAGCCAAAGTTTGGAATCTAGTGCGGTGTGTTTTAGCGACGAGCAGTGCCATTCGAGTGCAGTAACCTAGTGACTGGTGCACCAAACGATATTTCTGATATTCCCGTTTCGTTTCCCAGCTCATTTTGTCCCTAGCTGAAGGGCACAAACAAAGGCCAAACTGATCGTGGAATGCGGCGTTGAATAACAAACAACAGCCTCGCAGCTCGGTTCATCTGCTTCTTGGCAAATGGCATGCTCCAGACGCCCTCACTCCGGATAAAACCACTTCACCACATCGGTTCGTTTGGAATGCTAATCAGGAGAGAAGGGGCTAATATCTCAAAGGAATTGTTACCCTTTGATAGAAGTGTCTGAAGCTGTTAAGTTTGAGAATGCGACAGGGAAGGCATGAAGGTGGATTAAGTCAAAAGCCACGCACTCATGGATCATGGTGTCTGTCCGTATCACAGGAAGCATATGACAGTTGCCTGAAGAACAGCAGAGTAGAACTCGGTTTAATTACACCAGAGTAAAATACAAAGTGCGGCATGAAAAGTTTCATTTAGCTTATACTGCAGGGGCAGATGGAAAAACACTGCGATTTGGCAGTAAGACGTGTCTTGAAACCTGGAGGATGGTTAAGAACAGCTCGAACAAATGTCGTTAGTGAGGTCAAGGATTCAGGAAATCCAAAGCAGTTAGTTCCCTTCAGAAATTTGAAAAGCACAGTAAGAAGACGAAAGCTGGTAGATGCATGCATCTTTGTTTGTTTTTGTTTTTGGCAAAACCATGAACTACGTGATATATTCGATCCTAATTCTAAGTGGTGCGGTTTACTGTGCTTTATAATGTCAGTACCGGTCAAGATGATGCGAAACTCACTCTTCGGCAAACGTTCCTGTGTCACAGCATCGGCTACTCGTTCTGGTCGAACTGGCGTCACGTGACCCAAGTGCACTGTCCTCCTGTCGTCCGCGTTGCATGCGTTCACGTGAGCGAAAACGGTTCCTCACAATGCGGGTGAAGTCTCGGAGTGAATCCCCTGACGTGGACTTCAAATGCAGACAGAAGACAGCTGTGAATTGTGTACCCGGACTAAGGTTGCGTTTGGACGCTGGGAGTGGATTCAACTTTAGTACACAAAGACAGTCAAGAAAATGAAATTTTTTATAGTGGTCTGATGTAGACGAGTATGTTTAGCCGTAACGACCACCGATGCGCTAGCGATGTATACTTTGACTGAGTTCAAGTCATTCGACACAACCCCAGGACACCTGCTGCATTTGCCGAATGCTTCTGCGAGATGAGGACGGTTGATAAACAGGATTTCGGCGGAGCACGGCATTATGGATGACGTGGAACGTTAAACCCCGTATGGTGCATCTCTGTTAGTATTTCTTTAGTGCACAGGTAGCTGTCATTTGGGGAGCAAAGAATGCATTCCAGAAAACACATCTAGGGAGAAGATGCAGACACTAGTATCAACGAGGTGGAGTCAGCTGTCAGCATGCTACTCGATTTGGATGACCTTCGTCAAGGCAGTAAGTACTCGTGATACGCATGACAACAGAGGCACCGATGCGATGAAGTGCGGGAAAATGGATTTAGATGTACAACTAGAAGCGATTGGTGGACTTCTTGACGAGTCGTTATCTAATAGGTGAAGCATCATGCAACGTTTCGAAAAAAATTGGGTGCATGAAACGATATATCACTAAAAGTAAAGTAATGAGAAAGCTTTTGAACAGACCGCTGCATCCCGTAATATGCGTCATGAACCTCGTAGTTAGGTTATAGTGTAGCAACATCATTTTCATGCATCAATCAGGTACAGTCCAACATGTTATGGCGACCAGACAAAAACATTCCCGACATTTTCCCTTATTAATAATGTCCCTATGCATGAGCCTGTATTTGGCGACCAGTCGTCCAAGACGACCACATTTTGTCGGTACATTGAGTGGTCGACTTAGACGGGTTTGATAGTACATATTTACAGTACATATTTACTTCCTAGTTAATACACAACACATTCTTCTACATTCTGTATCCAGATACATTGCTAGTCAATGACTCAACGCCCAAATGACAAAACAGGATCATTGACCTCAATTCGGAATCGAGGACAGACATCTAGGAATCACCGCATCACGCACGTGAGATCCATATTTTTTCAGTTCCACTTCACAAACTCTTCCTATGACTGCATCTTCCTCTTCGCCTTTGCGTTTGAGAGCAGTGCAGCAATGAGTAATAACGGGTCTCTAAAGGCAAATGTTTGTTAAGTCCCGTGGGATGGTTATGGTGAAAACTAAGCGATAAAATTCACTCTCGGTAAAGCAATGTGCGAGATTCCTGACTCACCAAGGGGGTTGCATTAGCATGTGTGAGTATTCCTGCCTGGAGTTTAGGAAGATTATAACACCGCCCAGTGTTTGTTCTGCACTAGTGTCGTAATCTACTTGTCATTGGCTATATCACGTAGTGTAGATGTGACATGGCATCATCTAGGCGTTTTTGAATAGGGTTACGGGAGTACTAATTACATGCGCCGGGATAGCTTTCCAGGGCTGTGACATTCGGACGGAGAAAAAGCCTCGTTCACATTCTAGACGGCTGTACTGCGCGGCCAACTTAAATTGATAACACCCCAGAGATGTTTTGGCTGAGTATCAAAAAATAATGGCGATCGATGAGTAGGTAGAAACAACAGTAAAGAAATACACAGACTCCTTTAGTGGGGCGGTCGTTAAGCAAGGTTGACACAACAGATAATGTGATCTCGGCGTCGGCAATCACATCGTTCTTCCATGCCTTGGTTGCCATGAGGAGGTCGCAATACAAAGAACATTGACGAGATCGAAGCACGGCCAGTTTACTGAGAAAGCCTCATGCGTTTGTACAAAAACAGTTGGGAGCAACGGATGCCAAAAGTGTATCCGAACACAAACTTTTCCCGCAAATTTACGCCGACCCTTATGGGACTGATTGACAATCGGTTTTTGGATGGATTCCTGGCCTACCGCCTGGGGTTGTTCTTGTCTGTAGCATCGAGCACCCACTACCTAATCCTTCATAGGAGATTTGTGGCTGATTGTCTGTTCCTTCCTCTTTGGACTGCTGGGGAATTACATTGCGCTGCGGTTCGGAAATGCGGACAGCTGGGGTCACGACAAAATCTCGCTGATTTTAGGTTCCCTCAACCAATGTTAGCCTGACTTTGACTGACTCCAGGTATCTCCGATGGCGGTCTGATGCGTGACTTTCGCCAACTTCCGAGCACCCTTTCAACCATTCGTTTGAAGTAAATAAGGACTTTCAACACCCTTATATCACATCCTTCATAGTTGAGTGACATTGATAATTTTAACGTTGAGTTGACAATCACGTCGTGGAGTTAGGGCTTCGTGGATATAGCGCCACTCTTCCAAGTCATGAGCTCGGGCTTAAGACTCGTCGGAAGACTGAATTTCAGGGACACCACTGACATAGATCGAACTTTCGGCCTTTTACTTACGGTGTTCTCCTGGGTTTTGCTTCCTTTGCCGACACCTACTCCAGGGGATGTCAGGGAATATACAAACGTCGCATGATGAATCACGAAAACGGTGAGCTGACAAGAGGGTGGTCGCCGCTTCGTCACCCGACTGAAATGTCACCTCAAGTAGCCTTGGTTCACCATAGTGAATTGAGTTTGGGTGGCGGACGATGCGAAACAAATTAGCCTTTTGGTCTGGATCCCCATTGCTTGACATACAGATTCCCAGTGTTTCAGGTCCCCCAGTAGTTTGCTTCGGCAAACTTTGCTTTTGACTCAGGTACGTTAGAGCATATTATCTCTATCGAGTTCCTCATCTTCCTAGTGTTCATAATTTTTGATAAGAATGCTTCCTTTTTCTGGCGGCGTGGTAGTGGGTCTTCTCGGAGGTATATATATATATACATAAATATATATATACATATATATATATATATATAGGCTGCGTGTGACGGCCGTCAAGCAGATCCCAATCTGTCTCTGCAATCACATTCCCGAGCTGGATCTGCTCTCCACTGCCTTGTGGGTCAGGCTATTGAGCCAAAGGCTCCGGGCGGAGTCCCTCAAGCAAACCTCCAAACCACCCACTGCCTTGTGGGTCAGGCTATTGAGCCAAAGGCTCCGGGTGGAGTCCCTCAAGCAAACCTCCGAAGCACAACGACCACCTCGCGTGCGATTGCCCACCAATGCAATCGTATGCCTGCGCGCAAAGCACTCAGCATCGGGTGCTGGAACGTGCGCACACTACTGGACCGGAACTCGAGCGAGCGCCCATAGCGACGCACTGCACTGGTCGCAATGGAGCTGGCGCGCTACCACATCGATATTGCGGCGCTCAGTGAAACTCGGCTCGCTGAGCAAGGTAAGTTACATGAAGCAGGTGCTGGCTGCACATTGAATTGGGTGGGCAACGCCGCCTCAGCACCACGTGAACATGGGGTCGGATTTGCAATATCCGATCGCCTGAATGGCCAGCTGGTGGGTGAACCAACGGGCATCAGCGCGCGACTGATGACTGTTCGCCTACGACTCGGAAGAGGTAAGTTTGCTACTTTTATAAACACGTACGGTCCGACCATGTGTTATCCTGATGACACGCGTGACCAGTTCTAACCTGAGCTATCCTTCGTGATACGGTCTGTGCCGAGGAGCGACCGACTATTTCTGCTGGGTGATTTCAACGCGCGCGTTGGGCATGATGCATCGGCGTGGACAGATGTTATCGGTGCGCATGGCATTGGTTCAGCGAATGCGAACGGTGACAGGCTGCTCTCACTGTGTGCCACTCGGCCTGACGATCACGAACACTCGGTTTGCACTGAGTGCGAGTGATATAGCAACTTGGACGCACCCACGGAGTGGTCACGCTCACCTGCTCGACTATGTCATTGTACGTCAGCGTGATATGCGTGAAGTGCGCATGACACGTGTACTGCGTGGAGCTGAGTGTGGCACTGATCACAAATTGGTTCGGACCAAACTGTACATATATTTTCGTAAATCTATGTATTGCACTCCCGCCGTGAATCGGCGTAAATTTAACATTCTCTCTCTCGGTACTGTGGCGAAAAGTACTGAGCTGGAGAAGGCGATGGCTGCACGCCTGTGTGGTGATGTGGACTGTATAGCCACAGTGGGCGACCTGTGGCACCACATTCGCGACCAGGTGACAGCTGCTGCGGAGGAGACCATTGGGCGCGCAAACTGTAAGCGGCCTGATTGGGTTGATGACAACAATGCGACGATTGGCGCATTGGTGTCGGAGAAGAATGCAGCATATGCTGCACATGCTGCAGACCCCAGTGACTTAGGGAAGAAGAGTCAGTTTCGCAAACTTCGACGGCGACTGACCCGAGAGCTCCGTCGCATTAAAAATGCATGGTGGACGGAGAAGGCGAAGCAGATGGAATGCTACGCCGAACGCCGTCAACACAAGGAATTCTTTGACTCCTTGAAGGCGGTGTATGGACCGAGATTGGAGCCGCTGAGGACACTGATCGATGGTAGTTCAGGCGCTACCTGCACCCAGACTGCAGACATAATGCAGGTCTGGCGGAAACACTTTGACTGTCTCTTGAACAATCGCTCAGAGATCGACTGGCCTACACTGAACGGCCTGAAGCAGCACGATGTGAAGGCGGATCTGGCGGATACGCCGACACTGGATGAGACGCAGAGAGCACTTGCTCAGCTGCGAAACGGCAAGTGTGCCGGAGCTGACGGGATCCCGCCTGAAGTATTGAAACACGGTGGACCCGCGTTGTTGACTGCGCTGCACCACTTGGTGCAATGCGTGTGGATTGAGGAGGAGGTGCCTCCTCAGCTGAAGGATGCCCTTGTGCTACCACTGTACAAGGGCAAAGGTAGCAAGCAATGTTGCACGAATTATCGTGGCATCAACTTGCTGAGTTGTGTGGGCAAGGTGATTGCCCGAATCCTGCTCAATCGCCTCGTGAGTCAGATTGTGGAACCAAACGTGGCGGAAGAGCAATGTGGATTCCGTTCGGGTCGCAG